ATACCCCCACCCCCACTCCAGAGCACCTACRTTGGGGAAGTCAAGCCCCAGCTTCTCCTTCTCRTTGATCCAYTGGCTCTTGTCGTAGTCRGGAGCTGGAAGGGAAGGGGGAGGTGGGGGGTGTTGAGTTCCCATCCCCCCAAAATCCAGAGAGCTCGAGGGTGCTGTGGGGACCCCCCAACCCCTCACCTTCCCCACAGCTGTACAGCTTGTCCTCGTAGGGMGTCTCCGTGTACTCCAGGAGCAGGCGGATGGCGTGGGCGAGCTGGGGAGTGGATCAGTGAGACCCCCCCCCAAAAACACCCCCACACATGCCGTGGGGAAACTGAGGCACGGGGGGGCAAGCTCACCCCTCCTCCCCTCCAGTCAGCACCCCTGGACTGGGGGGACCCCACAACACACCAGCCACCCTAAAGCAACACCCTCCCACCCCCAAGTGCAGCAGGACCCCCATGGCCCCCCCACCAGACATCCCAGAGCACCCCCAAAAGATCAAGAGACTTCCAATAGCTCCCCAAAAGACCTGAGGGTCCCCACACACACCCCCAAGAGACCAAAGGGACCCCCGGGGCTCCTCCCAGGATTAGGAAGACATTCCCTGGACCTCCCAAAAGATCAGAAGGACCCCACAGAGTCACCGCAGCCCCCCCAAGGATCACCCCCTCCAGTCCCCCCAAGACTCACGGTCCCCCACAGCCGCCTCCCCCCAAAAAACCAGAGGAAATCCCATAAAATGCCCGAAAAACATAGAGGATCCCCGAAGACCCCCCCACAAGACAAGGGGCAGCCCCGAAGACGCACCACAGCCCTCCCACAACCCCAAAGGGGCCTCCCGCAGCCCCCAACAAGATCAACTGGACCTCCGATGGCCCCTCGCTGCCCCCTAAAAGTCCAGAGAGACCCCCACAGCCCCCCTAAGACAAAAGGGACCCCAAAAGCCCCTAGAGCCCCCCCCCCAAAATGCACGGGGACCGCCCCAGCCCCCACCCGCAAAACCAGAATGGCCCCCACGTCACGCAAAAAGCTCAGAAGGGACCCCAAAAACACCCCAAGATCCCCTGCAGCCCCCGAAAGACCAAAAAGGCTCCCGAAGAGCCCCCCGCAGCCCCAAAAACACCGCGGGGAATCCCGCAGACCCTCTAAGACCCCCCAAAAAAGCGCAGGGGGATCCCCCCCCAGCCCCCCTGGGGTCCCCGCAGACCCTCCCTCCCCCTGGGTGCCCCACGGGGGTCCCGGGTCCCCCCACTCACCCCGCGGATGTCCCAATACCCCAACACCGCCATGGCGCGCGCGATCGCCGGCCCGCCCCCCGCGCGTGACACCCGGCCACGCCCACCCGGGGGCGGGGCCTAAAGGGGCGGGGCTCAGTGGGGGCGGGGCTCAGTGGGGGCGGAGCTCCACGGGGCGGGGCTCAAACTGGTCCCTTTTCGCGGGGGTCTGCGGCCGCGCCCATCCCTGTGGGGTCCCCCTATGGCTCTATGGGGTCCCCCATAACTGTGACCCCCCCCACCACGTCCCCACGGAAGCCCCTGATCCTGGGGGCTCTGCACGCCCCCCATCCCGAAGGGCCCTGCGACCCCCCAAACTCTATGGGGTTCCCCGTATCCCGGGGGTTTTGCGAGTCCCCAAACTCCATGGGGTTCCCCGTATCCCGGGGGTTTTGCGAGTCCCCAAACTCCATGGGGTTCCCCGTATCCCGGGGGTTTTGCGAGCCCCCAAATTCCATGGAGTTCCTTGTATTCCTAGAGTTCTGTGACCCCCCCCAAACTCCATGGGAAATCCCTTGTCTTCAGGGCTCTGTGACCCGCCCCAAACTCCATGGGAAATCCCTTGTCTTCAGGGCTCTGTGACCACCCCAAACTCCATGGGGTCCCCCTTAACAGGGGACTCTGTGACCCTCCCCATCCCTGTGGCTCTGTGATCCCCTAAATTCCATGGGGTGCCCCTTATCCTAGGGGTTCTGTGACATACCCCATCCATTCCCACAGGACTCCCTTATCCTTGGGGCCACTGCAACCCCACAAACTCCCTTACTCTGGGGCTCTGCAGCCCCTTAAATTCCCTGGGTTCCCCCTTTTCCTGGGAGCTCTGTGACCCCCCCAAACTCTATGGGGTCCTCTTTAATAGCNGGGGCGGAGCTCCACGGGGCGGGGCTCAAACTGGTCCCTTTTCGCGGGGGTCTGCGGCCGCGCCCATCCCTGTGGGGTCCCCCTATGGCTCTATGGGGTCCCCCATAACTGTGACCCCCCCCACCACGTCCCCACGGAAGCCCCTGATCCTGGGGGCTCTGCACGCCCCCCATCCCGAAGGGCCCTGCGACCCCCCAAACTCTATGGGGTTCCCCGTATCCCGGGGGTTTTGCGAGTCCCCAAACTCCATGGGGTTCCCCGTATCCCGGGGGTTTTGCGAGTCCCCAAACTCCATGGGGTTCCCCGTATCCCGGGGGTTTTGCGAGCCCCCAAATTCCATGGAGTTCCTTGTATTCCTAGAGTTCTGTGACCCCCCCCAAACTCCATGGGAAATCCCTTGTCTTCAGGGCTCTGTGACCCGCCCCAAACTCCATGGGAAATCCCTTGTCTTCAGGGCTCTGTGACCACCCCAAACTCCATGGGGTCCCCCTTAACAGGGGACTCTGTGACCCTCCCCATCCCTGTGGCTCTGTGATCCCCTAAATTCCATGGGGTGCCCCTTATCCTAGGGGTTCTGTGACATACCCCATCCATTCCCACAGGACTCCCTTATCCTTGGGGCCACTGCAACCCCACAAACTCCCTTACTCTGGGGCTCTGCAGCCCCTTAAATTCCCTGGGTTCCCCCTTTTCCTGGGAGCTCTGTGACCCCCCCAAACTCTATGGGGTCCTCTTTAATAGCAGGCTCCGTGACCGCCCCACACTCCATGGGAACCCCTTTAACCTGGGGGGCCATGGGTCCCTCTGTGACCCCCCCACACTCCATGGGAACCCCTTTAACCTGGGGGCCATGGGTCCCTCTGTGACCCCCACCCAAGCTGCATTGGGGTCCCCCCTTTCAGCCCCCTAAGCTGCAGGGGGGGGTCGCATTATCCTGATGGGGACAGGGACCCCACAGTCCCCTAATCCTGGGGGTGCAGGGCGGAATGGCTCCCCCCATCTCGGGGTCCAGGAGGGTCCAACATCCCCCCCAGGGGTTACCCCACAAACGAGGGGTTCCCACCCCCACCCTGGTCCCGCAGTGCACCCCACACAGCGGCTGCACACGGGGGAGCCCCCCACGATTTATTGGGGAGGTCTGGGGGTGAGTTGGGGGACACAGGGGGGGTCACCCCCTCAATCTTTGGTGTTGCACCACTTGGCCGTGCGCCAGAAGATCGGGGTCTTCATGAAGCGCCCTGAACGCATGTAGGCAGAGATCTTGTCCAGGGCCTGGGGACACAGGGACACGTGGGGACATGAACGGATACACCATGGGGTCAGGGATGGGGACAGGGACACCGGGGTGATGGGGACAACACGGGGTCAGGGATGGGGACACTGGGGTGTCTGGGATGGGGACASRGACASYGSKGTRTTGGGGACAGGGATGGGGACACCACGGGGTGCCTGGGATGGGGACAGGGACACCAGGGTACTGGGGACAGGGATGGGATGTCTGGGGTAGGGACAAGGACACTGGGGTTTTGAGAGTCAGGAATGGGGACACCACGGGGTGTCTGGGACGGGGACAGGGACACCCAAGTGCTGGGGGCATCAGGGGTCCAGGGATAGGGACAGAGAGATAGACCCTGGGGTATCAGGAAATGGAACAGGGACATTGGAGTGTCAGGGACGGGATGGGGACATTGGGATGTCAGTGATGGGGACACCGGGGCATTGGGGACAGGGATGGGAACACGAGGGGGTCAAGGATGGGATGACAGGGGTGACAGGAATGGGGATGGAGAGAGAAACACTGGGATTTAAGGGTGAGGCTTGGGATGGGACAAGGACATAGACACGGCAGTGTCAGGAATGGCAGTGGGAACAGCAGGGGCCGGGGATGGGGACACGGGGGTGTCAGGGATGGGGATGGGGACAMCGCAGTGGCCGTCCCCTGTCCCCACTCACCTCGAAGCGCTGCAGGAAGCGGCCCAGGTTTCCCTGCAGCTCGGGACAGTCGGGCACGAACATGCGCTGCTGGTCCAGCACATCGTACGCCAGGAAGTCCACGAAGGTGATCTGGGGGAGGGGCAGGGGGGGTCAGCCACCCACAGGGACCCCCCAAACCCACCCCCCAGCATCCCCCACCCACCTTCTGCCCTGCAAACCAGGGCCGGGAGCCCAGGAACCGGGACAGCTCCTGCAGCTTCTTGGGCAGCTGCTCCAGGTACGCCGGCTTCAGCTTCTCCTGCACCGAGAGGGGCACAGTTCAGAGGGCTGCTCCCCACAGGCCCCCAAAAMCAGGGCCATCACCCCCTGAGTGCAGCCAGCCGAGGGATGCACCCCAATGCACACCCCCGATATGGCAGGGATGGCTTGGCCCCCTTGTCCCGTGCTGGGGGACACCCCGGGGTCTGGGGGAGATGCCCCACAGTGCAAAGAAGGGCACTCACAAAGGGTTAATCCTGGGGTCTGGGGGGATCCCCCACAGCTCTCACAGCCCCAGGAAGATGCTCAGAAAGTCAGGGTTAGCCCGGGGTTTGGGGAGGACCCCCATAGCCCCAGGAGGGCACTCACAAAGGGTTAACCCCGGATCTGGGGGATCCCCGCGCCAGCACAGCCCCAGGGGAGTACTCACAAAGTCGGGGCTATAGCACATTCGAGCAAAGTTCATCCTGAGATCCATGAGCTGGTTTTCCATCAGGTCCACGCGCTGCTTCTCCTCCTCCGTCTCACCGCCTGCGGGGCGGGGAGGTGTCAAACCCCACCCCATAAAACCCCCGGGACCCCTCCCCGAGGGTGCCGGGACCCCCTCCCCACTCACACATGTTGTGCTTGCGGGCGATGTAGCGAAGGATCGCGTTGCTCTGGGTCAGTTTGGTGGAGCCGTCGATGAGATACGGGAGCTGGGGGGGGGTCCGGGGGGCGGGGGGTCAGTCCCGGTGACCCCCAAAGCCCCCTGCCCACCCCCCCTGCCCACGCCCCCCTGCTCGCCCAGCACCTACGTTGGGGAAGTCGAGCCCCAGCTTCTCCTTCTCGTTGGTCCATTCGCTCGGGTTGTAGTCAGGGGCTGGGGGGGGCAGAGAGATTGGGGAGGGGGCTCCCCCAGACCCTCGGCCCCGCTCGTGGCACCCACAGCAATGGGGGG